CACGTCTAAAGTACTCCTAGTGTTTGTAGCTTATAAAGGTACACATGTTCCAAACACTAGGAGTACTTTAGACGTGTACCTTTATAAGTTACAAACACTAGGAATACATTAGACGTGTACCTTTATAAGTTATAAACACTAGGAGTACTTTAGACTTGTACCTTTATAAGCTACAAACACTAGGAGTACTTTATTTATAAAGGTACACGTCTAAAGTACTCCTAGTGTTTGTAACTTATAAAGGTATACATCTTGCTTAACTGTTGACTGTGTTATATTGTATAAAGGTATACATCTTGCTTAACTGTTGACTATGTTATATTGTATAATGGTACATGTCTTGCTTAACTTTCAAGTATGCTTATGGCTTATAAAGGTTGACTGTGCTTGTAGCTTATAAAGCCACATGTCTTGCTTGACTGTCGACTGGAATTATATCTTACTGTATTAGACAAGCTTCATTAATTGCCTTTCATGCTCACGTAGCTAATGACGGACTGTTTACACAATATTTTTTATCTGTTAGTTAATAAGTGGTAAGTGGCACATTAATTACTTCATTGTTTCTGTAAAATTGAAGGAAAATATATTAATATTTGAGATATAATTTATAAGATTTGTTTAAAAGGTTAAATTAATGGTGTCACATTTTTTTCTTTTAGTGGACGACGTATTAAAAGTGGTGACATTCCAGAACAAGGGTTTTCCCACAAGAAATGTACAGCACTTTTTTATGAATACTCTTGTAAGTTTTCATCAAGAAATGTAGAAAGTCAATGTTTGTGCCAAAATAGTTTTAATTATTTCTATCAATACCTTTATGATTTTTATTTTATTTTTACATCAGTTACTTTTCCACTAGCATACATAAGTTTTTTGTGGAAGTTGCTTTTTTTTGGTTAAAATGATCAAAAAATTTGCATAGATCCAGCGAAGAAATAGGAGTAGTTAATCGACTTTTGATAGACAGATGTGGCCTGATAACATGGTAGTGAGTGATAAATATTATATTACATATTTATTTTGTTTTCACCAAAAGCAGAATAGAAAAATATAATCTGTGACATAGAAGCCTAATGGTTCATTATATCCTCTACTCTATACTGCAATTTCACCTGTTTGAGGTTTATCGGCACAGCTTAGGTCAGGAAACCAAAGAAATACAGTTAGGCCTCTTACAGTGTATGGGGTTTTTGAGTTCTAGAGACATATTCAAGACATTCTATACTTATATATAATACTTGTGCTAATTTTTAAACCAAGAGTTTGTAGCTTATAAAGGTGCACGTCTTGCTTAACTGTCAACTGTGCTTATAGATTATAAAGGTACACGTCTTGCTTAACTGTCAACTGTGCTTATAGCTTATAAAGGTGCACGTCTTGCTTAACTGTCAACTGTGCTTATAGCTTATAAAGGTACACATCTTGCTTAACTGTCAACTGTGCTTATAGCTTTTAAAGGTACACGTCTTGGTTAACTGTCAACTGTTTATTGCTTCTAAAGGTACGTGTCTTGCTTAACTGTCAACCCGTGTGTATAGCTTCTAAAGGTGCACGTCTTGCTTCACTGTCAACTGTGCTTATAGCTTATAAATGTGCACGTCTTGCTTCACTGTCAACTGTGCTTATAGCTTATAAATGTGCACCTCTTGCTTAACTGTCAACTGTGCTTATAGCTTTTAAAGGTACACATCTTGCTTAACTGTCGACTGTTTATTGCTTCTAAAAGTACGTGTCTTGCATAACTGTCAACCATGTGTATAGCTTCTAAAGGTGCACGTCTTGCTTCACTGTCAACTGTGCTTATAGCTTATTAAGGTACGTGTCTTCCTACTTCCTTTGCAGTTGGAAGTATACAAAATTTCAATATTCTGAGTTAGAGTCATAAAACATATCTAATTCAGTAATTTCTAGGCTCAGACACTCGAAATAGTTTCATCTTTAGAATCATAAGTTTACCACTGCATTCTGGTCAAGAATATTTAACAAAGTATCTGTTTCTATTAAAAATATTACTATGTTGTGTTATACTTCTGACACATGCTTATACATCTTGCTAACAGAACACTGGATCATAGTTTAGGATTTGTGTGGAATAAAATTATTTTCTTGGGTAGTTTATTTAGAAAAAATAGCACTACTCCAAAAGGTAACTTATATACGAAATAGCCATATGTCTTTGTATAGAAACTATAAGAAATGTCATTCCCTATGAAAAGTTCCAGTATATCCTGGTATTCATTTATTAAACCCTAAAGAAATAACACTGCATTGTGGAATAGGATAAATATCACTAATTTATGGTACAAGAGTAAGAATAAATATAACTGCCTTCTAGTGTATAAAATATGAAAAAAAACCCACTAAATCATAAACCTGGCATGGCCTGGTGGCTAGGGCACTCAACTTGTAATCTGTGGGTCATAGGTTTGAATCCCTATCAACAAATATTCTCACCCTTTCAGCTGTGGGGTCCTTATAATGTGATTGTCCATCCCACTATTAATTGGTTAAAGAGTAGCCCAAGAGCTGGCAGAAGATGGTGTTGACTAGCTGCCTTGTCTCCAGTCTATCACTGCTGAATTAGGGATGGCTAGCACCGATAGCCCTCGAGTAGCTTGCTCAAAATTCAAAACAAACCATTAAATCATGATGGTATAGGATAAATACCAATACTAGGATGAGATTCTGATGAAAATGGAGCTTCAGAGACTTTGGTATAGGATAAATACCAATACTAGAATTAGATTCTGATGAAAATGGAGCATCAGAGACTTTGGTATAGGATAGATACCAATACTAGGATTAGATTCTGATGAAAATGGAGCTTCAGAGACTTTGGTATAGGATAAATACCGATACTAGGATTAGATTCTGATGAAAATGGAGCTTCAGAGACTTTGGTATAGGATAAATACCAATACTAGGATTAGATTCTGATGAAAATGGAGCTTCAGAGACTTTGGTATAGGATAAATACCAATACTAGGATTAGATTCTGATGAAAATGGAGCTTCAAAGACTTGCAAGAAACAACTTAAGGATTGTGTTGGTATATTTCATGGAGTAATTGATCTAAAAGATAATTATATTGTTGAAAACGTTTTTGTTATTTGTTTCAGTTGTTAAATATTTAAATATGAAATTTACTATTATTTTGTTAAGATAATATCAGGCTGGATGAAAGATTAGTTTATGCTCAAAGTATTTTTGTTTTTTATTTTCGGAGGTTCCTAATGGAACAAAATGAGAAAATAACTGTCCATTATTTTGTTGTTAAAACACGAAAATGTTTTATTGGAAAACTTTATTTTTAGCTGCAGATGATCCAGAAGTAATAGGTCCTGATGGTATGGAAAAATTCTGTGAAGACATAGGAGTAGAACCAGAAAATGTGAGTTTTGTGGAAGCCACAAAGAAATGTCAAATAAAAATGGTTGGATAAAACCACTTGTTTAAAGCTCAGGCACTAGTGAAATGTCAACTGATAGCAGTTAAAACAGTTTACACATAGTTCATTCACTAGAGAAATGTCAAATGATACCAGTTAGTTAGAACAGTTTGTACAAGGTTTAGGCACTAGTGAAATGTCAAATGATACCAGTTGGTTAAAACAGTTTGTATAAAGTTTAGGTGCTAGAGTAACGTCAAATGATACCAGTTGGTTAAAACAGTTTGTACAAAGTTTAGGTGCTAATGTCAAATGATACCAGTTAGTTAAAACAGTTTGTACAAAGTTTAGGTGCTAATGTCAAATGATACCAATTGGTTAAAACAGTTTGTATAAAGTTTAGGTGCTAATGTCAAATGATACCAGTTGGTTAAAACAGTTTGTATAAAGTTTAGGCACTGGGAGGGGGGGGGGGCATTATTCAGTGGTAAAAGAGTAGCCCAAGAGTTGGCGGTTGGTGGTGATGACTAGCTGCCTTCCCATTAGTCTTACACTGCTAAATTAGGGACGGCTAGTGCAGATAGCCCTCGTGTAGCTTTGCACAAAACCAAAACAAACTATACATACATTCAGCAACTAAAAAATGCAGTTAAAAACATCTAGTTGCCTTTCACCTTTTGTCAGGTATACATATACAGTAACTAAGCGATATTGTATTGCTTAAGGTAAGTTTAGTCGCATCTTGTGCCCTCGTGTAGCTTTGCACAAAACCAAAACAAACTATACATACATTCAGCAACTAAAAAATGCAGTTAAAAATATCTAGTTGCTTTTCAACTTTTGTCAGGTATACATATACAGTAACTAAGCGATATTGTATTGCTTAAGGTAAGTTTAGTTGCATCTTGTGCCCTCGTATAGCTTTGCACAAATCCAAAACAAACTGTACATACATTCAGCAACTAAAAAATGCAGTTAAAAATATCTAGTTGCTTTTCAACTTTTGTCAGGTATACATATACAGTAACTAAGCGATATTGTATTGCTTAAGGTAAGTTTAGTCGCATCTTGTGCATTATAAGCAATATAGGTTTAATAATTTAAGTGATTCTTCTCATCTCTTTTGCATGAAGAGAGTTAAGTATGTTATATTAAAATAATGTTCAAGCTTTACTACGTTGTTATAGCCCATATTGTCACAACCAGTTACACTATCCGACAACTACGCATAATGTACTGTGTAACTTCCATCAAAAAGGCTCTGTTGTAAATGTGTGTCACCTTTATGCATACTTTCTGTAATCTGTCATGTGTATGAAGACAACATCCCAGCAATTATTTCAATAGTCCACTTGCGCAGAAGTCTGTGTGCACTATGTTCTGCGACTTGGCTGGTATGTTTTCATATGGAATACCCATCTTATTCTCCGGCTCCTTGAGGTATATGATGGTTAAAAAAATTCTGCACTCTGCTTACCATGGCTTGGATGCAATTTTAAAAATCACAAACAGCTAAAATGAAATAGAAAAATGCCATACAGTAAAATTATGTGTCTCCACAATTAGCATTGCATCATTATGTACTTTACACACTAGAACACCATTTAAATACTGTGGCTCAGTAGTAAGTTGGAGGGTTTATGACTAAAAATTTGGATTTGATACCCTTGGTGGGCACAGCACAGATAGCCTATTGTGCTTAACACTTGAGTAAACTCCTAGCTTTATGTATATTTTGTTTTTTAATTTTTGTGTGTATATAGAAAACACATACACAGGCCTTGGTGTGAAGAAACATTCCCTAACTTAGTAAACATTACAGAAATGAGGAAAACAAAGAAATTGTGTGCTTCATAAATATTACATTTACTATGACCATGGTTCTGTCAGAGAAGGTATCACCAGGTACATTGGCAAAACCATAGTCATAATAAATTAGATATTTGTGAAATGTACAGCTGTCTGTTTTTTGTTGTTGTTTTTTTTTCAGTTCTGTAGTTAGTGAGCTTCATGAAACAGTAACAGTTTCTAGTATTAATTGTATTGCCTGATGTGGTATGTGAAATGTAAAATTTTAATTCAAGAGAAAGAAATTGGACAGAATAAATATATATGACACTGTAATTTTGAGAAGCTTGAAATCGGAGGATCATCTCTCTTGGTTTTAATACATTTCTTTAGATATTACATACAATAATTTGTTTTATTCTTAAAATTGTGTGGATAGATCATAACACCGCTTAGTAATCTATTTAATGACTTAATTGATCTCAAAATTTTCATCATCATTTACTATTTATTTATTTCAGGTAGTTATGCTAGTGTTGGCATGGAAAATGGGAGCCAGACAAATGGGGTTCTTTAGGTTATCTGAATGGATTAAAGGGTTAACTGATTTACCAAAGCTACAACATACTTACTAACCCTAACAAAGCTACAACATACTTACTGTAAAACAGTTACCCCTAACAAAGCTACAACATACATATTGTAAATCAGTTAACCCTAACAAAGCTACAACATACTTACTGTAAAACAGTTAACCCTAACAAAGCTACAACATACTTACTGTAAATCAGTTAACCCTAAAACTGTTTTACAATATGTTTGTTGTAGCTTAGTTAGGGTTAACTGATTTACAGTAAGTGTGTTGTAGCTTTGTTATATTGGTACATTTAAATAAACATTTATGGAACTCATACTCACTTGTGTGAATAAAGTGACATTTAAATAAACTGTTGGAAGTTGCACACATGCCAGTTATGATATTAGCTTCACTATGGTGTAGTTTTCCTGGTAATCAGGTAGTTGAGGAATTGATTATAAAGAAGTTTTATGATTAAAATTATTCAAACTGTTATTATATGGTTTATCATGTTACGGGGTTAGTGAAATATGAGTTCATTCTTGCATTACGTTGAGATTGAAGAAAAGTTACGATCATGGTGCTTAGCCCCAGTGTTTAAGTCACAGATTCTCTGTTTTAGCCTTCTCTTTGCTTTACAGATGACTGAAATAGTACAATGAAAAAAAAATTAATTATATAACCAAACTGAGAATGTGTATCGGGGGTTTAAGACTAATTTACCACATGGCTTTATTATGTTACATTTTAATTAATGAAAAAGCTACATTCCAACAAGTTTGTACTAAGGATAAGAAATAAAATGCCTTAAGCTCGGGGTTGCAATGTCAAATATCAAACATTTTAACCTCTGGAAACCAGTAGGTTTTATACTGCATTATAATTTCTCTTTTTTTATCAAGATTAACATTCACTATCTTAACTTTTTGGAGCAGGAACAAACTGTTTTGATGTGTACTGTGTTACTAAAGTATTCATGTGTCTTGCATGTATCAACTAGCCATATAAGGTACAGTTTTCAAGAGCCACCTACAAACAAGACTAAACTGTAACACATGACAAATTAAATAATGAAACAATATCCGTCATCATCAGTTTATAACTAGTGCAGCGATGCGTTTAATCCACAGCTTCTGTTTTAATGGTATAAATCTGGGTGTGTTTATTCATTAGTTAATAACTAGTACAGTGATGCGTTTAATCCACAGCTTCTGTTTTAATGGTATAAATCTGGGTGTGTTTATTCATTAGTTAATAACTAGTACAGCGATGCGTTTAATCCACAGCTTCTGTTTTAATGGTATAAATCTGGGTGTGTTTATTCATTAGTTAATAACTAGTACAGTGGTACATTGAATCACAACTTCTCTTTTAATGGTATAAGTCTGGGTTTGTTTATTCATTAGTTAATAACTAGTACAGTGATGCGTTTAATCCACAGCTTCTGTTTTAATGGTGTAAATCTGGGTGTGTTTATTCATTAGTTAATAACTAGTGCAGCGATGCGTTTAATCCACAGCTTCTGTTTTAATGGTATAAATCTGGGTGTGTTTATTCATTAGTTAATAACTAGTACAGTGATGCGTTTAATCCACAGCTTCTATTTTAATGGTATAAATCTGGGTGTGTTTATTCATTAGTTAATAACTAGTACAGTGATACGTTTAATCCACAGCTTCTGTTTTAATGGTATAAATCTGGGTGTGTATATTCATTAGTTAATAACTAGTACAGGGATATGTTTAATCCACAACTTCTGTTTTAATGGTATAAATCTGGGTGTGTTTATTCATTAGTTAATAACTAGTACAGTGATACGTTTGATCCACAACGTCTGTTTTAATGGTATAAATCTGGGTGTATTTATTCATTAGTTAATAACTAGAACAAGTCTTACAGACACGACATCTGCTAATAAAACGTAAATATTCAAAAATGTCTCACTAAGCCTGAAATGTGAAACTTTTGGATAAGAGGCCATTTTTACTACACTGCACCTATAAAATAATACTGATTCTGAAAATCTTTTCATATATTTTTATTGGTTCATATTTGCTATACTATATATATACGGGTGTTGTTCTCTTATCAGGTGCGACACCATACAGGATATTCAATGCAAACTGGACTACCTCAGATCTCTTCTCGCTGATTCAAGCATTTTTAAAAGTATCTACCGGTATGCTTATGATTTTGCCAGAGTAAGTTCTTTGTTTACCAGAATAACTTGTTTTTGCATGCAATAAATGTCTATTCATTTTGTTTTCAAAATACTCAAGCCAAAGGTCAAATTATATTCTCTGTGAAGTGGATGGGTGAAACAGTATGTGTATATTACCTGTTGTATATTCTTGTGTTTTTTTGTGAAGCCATATACAAGAGGTATATGTGTGTGTGTGTGTGTGTGTGTGTACAGTAAAAACCTGTGTGGAAAGCTCTTGTAACCAGCAGTTTCAATATTTCCAAATACAAATGCTCATTATATCTTAGTGGTGCTGTTGTGGCTTTGCTTGTGTTCTTTCCCACCAGCAAGCTTCAGTTGTTAGCCACTTGTAGTGCGATTCATATTTAAAGTACTGTACTTATAAATGTTTTTATTAGGGATGCACGGGTACCCGGCCAAATATTCGGCCCTGACCCAGTAATACTTGGAGTTAAAAACAGACGAATCTGGGTAATAGAAAATGGCATCTAAGCTCTAATCTTTGTGGCAACTTATGCGGTACTGAAAGTTATAGTCAGTAATTGGTTTAGTTAAAAAAACGTGTTCTGAGCAACAAAGACTGACCACCCCCCCGCTGAAAGTTGGGAGATTCAGAGAACAATAGAGGTTAGTAACATGCATGGCTTTAGAAGTGGATTTTTGGGAAAGGTGGGGGTTTTTGAGAACAATAGGGGCTAGCTAATAATCAGAATAATGATTCTAAAACGTGTCAACATCGCTGTTTATGCGTTTACTTTCACTGACCTCACTTTTACACTATTTAACCTTTATCATTGAGCCTTGTGAGAAATGTACATCATTAAAATTGTGATTCTGAGATGTATACTTTACCTTTAAATTGTGTGTTTGTGAAAACACCATAAATTAGAAGGGCACTCAGTAGAGTGCATACCTCTGCCACACAGCAATTATCATATTCAGCCCTTGAAAAAAAAAAATCTGTCCATATGTTTGTCATATCAACAGACGTGGATTATTTTTGGAAGGACAATGAGGAATAACATTCTACACAAGTCCACCAAGTTTCATCAAAATCCAATCATTTTGGACTGAGTTATAGAGCAAAAATAGTGTGAAAAATCAGTCGCCATGTTAACAGATAGTTGTTTTTTTTATTTTCGTGACATTGTTGTGAACTTGACTTTTAACCTTGACCCTCCAGAAAATAATCACTTGTAAGTTTGGTCATAGTCCAAATTTATACCAACTTTCGTCCAAATCCATTCAGCCATTTTCAAGAAATCTTGCTCATAACTGCACACAGGGGTGAAAACATAACCCCGTCCACTTTTGATGGCAGAGTTAAATATTATTCAACATCTTTCACCCAAATTTAAAACTCTTCTGGAAGTAAATATAACTGACAATGTATCTGTATCTATTGTTTTTCCCAGTCTCAGGTATTAATTAAGCTTCTGCAGTCACTTTATGAAGTTATAAAGGAAAGGGTCAAACTTGCATGGATACGTCAGATGTAGCGTGGGAGACGTAACGTTCACTTTCGCTCATGGGTTCTTAGAATTACTAATGTAGTTGTCTCCCATCGACACTGTGGTTGTTTGACCCAGTTCTTTGAATGATAGTGAAGTTAATTAAAATAATAATAAACTTTCTAAGAAATGATATTTTAATTAAAAATTACAATCATATTTGTTGGAAAGTTTACTAACATTGATTCAGGTTATGCATTAAATGATAAATATAAATAATATGTTTTAAATTTAAAGTAAACAATGTTGTATTACTAATTCTTACCCTGGAAACATTGTTTGTAGATGATTTATATACAGTTGTTAATTATTACGATTTGGTTTACACCATAAGAATCATAAACCAGAAACAATATAATAAATTCAAAATTATACCTCTGTTATGATTCCTTGTTGTAATCTTTAAGTCATAATGGATAATGCCTGTGGTCATAGCATGTGGTTGGGGATATTCCATTTATCAGGCAAAATCTGAATATTAAGGATAACTACCTTCCCACAACTGGCTGCAGATAGCGAAAGGCAGTTGGAATTGAGACGTTGTGGGTTCAAGCACTCAACTTCTAACCCTTAACCAGTTTTCCTTAGTTACTAGCGAGGTTTTGCATTGCATTTGACTGATAGATGGAATATCCCCAACACATTTGGGTGCTATGACCACGGGCATTATCGATTATAATTTAACCCATTCACTGCAGTTGGGACGTGTATTTCCCAGTACTCCCACCCCCTCATGCTGCAACTGGGACGTATATTTCCCAGTGCTCCCATCCCCTCATGCTGCGACTAGCACAAATGTTTCCCATTGTCGATGCTGTTTACATCTTCCTCTGCTGGGTCCAGGTTCATCATCTTGACTATCATCACTAGATGGAGAGCTAACATCCTCTTGTTTCATTGCCTCTTCATCATCACACAGTTGAATACCACTTGACTCA